TTTCATTTTGTTTAAATTTTTTGTTTTATTTTTTTTAATATATAACAGATAAATATTATTATAAAAGTTTAAAGAAAATTTCCAAAAAAATATTTTTATAATTGTTAAGTACATAAATATGTATGTATATTATATTTTTAAAGCTTCCTAACTAAATTTTTAAAGCTTTCTACAAAAACAAAAAAATGATTGTTTTCAAATATATGTATGTATGTATATGAATGTATTAAAATTTAGCATGTTACAGTTTTTGGCTTGGAACAATAAAAATAAAATTCTAACTATATACGTACATATATTCCGTATGTATATTTTTATAAAGCTTGCTGATGAAACATAATATTCAAAACAACAACAAATACAGCATTAATATTCAGATGCCACAAAACATCTGATGTCTTTGACAAAAGCTGACATTTACTTACGTTAAAATTATTTCGATTTTTCGAACCAAAAATATGTGAGATCAGGATATTTTGTCTGTATGTATATTTTCTTTAAAGCTTCCTAACTAAATTTTTTAAGCTTTCTATATGAATTGAATAATATTCGAAACTGTGGTTTGGCATATAGAAACACATAATTATTAAATCATGGAGTATCATACAAAAATAAATTTTTCAAATAAAGAAAAGGTTTAGGCAAACAAAATAATAATTTTATTCAAATATATGTATGTACATGAATGTATTAGAATTGAATATTTTAAAATATTTTGTTTAAAAAAATTAGAAATAAAATTTTAAGCACAAACATACATTATTATGAATGTGCACCTGTTTTTTTAAAACTGCGGGTGAACATAATATTGAAATATGATCACAAAAGATATCTAATTTAGATAAAATTTTTCTCAGTATATTATTATTATTACTATTATTATTATTATTGCTATTATCATTGTTATTAGTACTACTTTTATTATAATTGTTATTATTATTATTATTATTGTATATTAACATGCATGTTCGATTTTTATTTTCAATGAAACAAAATGTAAAATACATGTCCGCAGCATATTTTTCGCTGAAATGTAAAGGCCTTTAGATGATGGAATATATATTGCCGTTAATATAATGTTTGCTTATAAAAATTATAATTATATAATTTCTGAAATACTGCTGATGCGTACAAATTATACAATCCATAGATACGGCAGCTCATCTCATATTTAAGATTTAAGAATATTATTTTATTCACTATAAAATTATTATTTTATTCACTATTCAATATTATTTTATTTTTTATATAATAAACAAAAATGATATTGGAATTTGTACTAATGAAAAACTGCCTTTTATTATAATAGAAATTTTCTTTATTTTTTTTATTTAAAGTTACAGATTTTTACCGGAATAGCATATAATAAGAAAGGTTATGAAATGGCAACAAATTTTGCAATATCGAGTTTTTGGTGCTAACATACTTTTCCAGAGTAGGGAATTGTAAATAAACTGCTTTTATATAGGTGTTGATCTGTCGGTCTAAGTGTCTGTCAGCCTGTGTGTGCACGTGTGTATCTCAAGTTCGGCTTAACCCAACTTAAATGTCGGCTAAAAACTTTTTAGTGTCCTTAAAATTTTAAAAAAGTGTTTAAAGGCATTTTCATAGTCGTCTGGAATACTTTTACTAATTTAGACAATGTATCTTGCAGTCGGTTGTGTGCTGAACACATCAGATTTTTGCATTATAGTCAAGTACTCCAATTGTTCCCCTTTTTCTTTAAAATTTTTTCTTTCATCACACTATCATGTAACAATGACGCCAACTTTATTAGAATAACCAAAGCCTTTGCAATCTTGTCTTGGAAATAAAGCGTGAGCTAAAAAAAATGCTTATATTGTTCAATGGCACGGAATTTACCGTTAGCTTTCTGCGTTGTTAGAAATTTGAAAAAGCTTGGGGTTTTGAAAATACAAGGTGCTGTAAATTAAAATTTTGCAAATCTCGTAATTCGATAACTTGAAACTGGGTAGAGTTGGGAAAAAAATTTTCTTCTAACGAAACGAACTTTTTACTAATGTCTAAAAGCTGTTAAAATTTCTGTGTTTCGCAACCTTAAGCCTAGAAGAAAAACGACTTTGAAGAATTTGGAAAAAACGTATTTTAGATGAGTAAATTTTAACTGCTATTTTGTTCTTTCAAAGTTTAAATATAGTATGCCGCCTTAGTAAAAGCCAACCACTATATTTCTGCGTTTGCAAAATTTGAAAAGTGCTTATGTTTTCACTGCAATAAATAAGTAAAAAAAGTTAATTATTTGCACAGATAACAATGTTTGCAGTACCTATTTCAGCTTTTGTGAAAACGTTGGAATAGAGAAAATTTGTCACGACTGCAAGAATTTTCGAAATGGACAAAGGTTGATAATGATAAGAATGATGACCTACACAATCTTAAAATACATGCCTGTGTAAAAATTTTATACTTTATATAAGCGATCCATATAAAATATATGCGTGTTACAACTCCTCTAACAACAGTATTTTACTTGTATAACATAATTTGCTATACGTATGAAAAGGTACACTCGATTTTGAATTAGCAATTGCAATATCAAGATATGATGCTATTTAATCCAACTTGAAATCATAAACATACATATATACGATTTTTGTTGTCAAACATCCATGTTTACCTTGTAAATTTAAAATAATCGCATATTTGGTTTACAGTTGAAACATCATCATTGTGAATTTCGTACTTCCCAAAGGAAATTACAAAATTTGTACATCATGTATTGTACATACATCGTTATATACAGTATTGAATATTCATCTGACTGAAAATTGGTCGTTGTGGTGCCATATTGAAAACGGCAGATAAGTAAATCTAAACAGCATAATTTAATAATTTTTTTTTCTTTTTACTTTTTTTTAATTGACATTTTGAAGTTAGAAATTACAGAAAAAATCTCAGACTACGCTACTAGTTTCATGTTATTCAATTAATTGTAGAGATGGAAGATTTAAGCATGCATATAAACTTTGTTTTCGAGCAGTTCTGAAAATGTATAAATTGAATTAAAATGTCTAATCGAAATGAAATCTTTCAAATTATAAAAATATTAATTAAGAGACATTTACATATATCTATTTAAATAAAAAAATATAAGTCACTATTCAAAAATGAGTATTTTTGGTAACGTAGTTTCATTTCCAACTTTGAATTTAAATAACTTAGACAGCAGAGAAACGAATCTGCTAAAACTACTAAATTGATGCAAACAAAAAAAAGTTTTTGTAATTGTAAAAGTTTCGACATTATCATATGTTTGTAAAGTCTCAAAGATGAAGCAACAGCATAAATTACTTAAAAAACTTATTTTGGAATAAATTTGTTCAAGTAATAGCAAAAATGATGTATATATATTATATGTAGATTACTTATTTAGAACAAAAATTTTCATACTATTTTTTCAAATCTATTTTATATAATTTTTTGTCATCACAGAAAATGATATAAAAATAAAGTGCCAAATTTCTCTTTCTCTTCTTTATACCCTGCACTTCGTGAAGGTTATATTAACTTTGGAATGGAGTTTGTAACTACTTGAAGTAGTGATCTGCGGTATGAACATATATATATATTGCTCAGCGTATAATTCTGTGTCGATTTAGACATGTCCTTCTGGCCGTCCGATCGCACTGATGCATGACTGATTACAGGTCAGAAATATTTCTGAAGTTTTGGTGGAATTGCTTGAGAAGTTCGGTTGTTCTGTAACTCTTTTAAGAATTAGTGCTTTTGCTTATAGTGACAAATTCTTTATTCTTGATGTGTAATAATGACACATATGAATAATGACGCATTGAAATTTTCAGCATTTCAAACTATTAATTTAAATCACCTTAAAAAATGAAGCCCAACGCTCTTAATACTTCTAGTTTCTTTTTTTCAATTTGAAGTTTTTCTTCTTGAATTTTAAAAAAGTCTCTACAACACGTTCACTCGTTTTACTTTTACACATCTACGAAGGCTTTAATATATTTTTTTTCTTTTTTAAGAAAAAAATTATATCATTTACTATTGATGCTATTTTCATAGCTATCACCATTACATGATGTTGTTTACTTTCTATTCTTTTTACTCCGCTATTTTTAAAATTATATTAGATCTTTCGTTGAAGAAGAAATAAAGGGACTTATTGCACACGCATCGCGGAAATTGTTGAAATATTTTCAATTTGTCGATTTGTTTTCTGATGTTTGTATCTTTAAAAATTTATATTTTTCTATAAGCTTACTAATGCCCTAAAAATTGGAAAGAAGTATTTAATTGGTATTTTTATAATATTTTGTAATACTTTCACTTAATTAAACAATCCACATTGCGGTCGGTTATGTGGTGATCACATCAGATTTTTTAATTTTTTTATTAGTAAAATGTTGTTCACTTTCAAGCTACATGTGTATTTATTAAAGCAAATTGTATAAAATTTAAAAGAAACTTATTGCAATAAATTATTTAGAACTAACATAATTTTCGTTTTGTATAAAAACTATTTTTGTTGTTGTAATATAAAACTAAGTAGTTTCGTGTATTTCTTAAAACTGTATGTTAAATTTGCAACTTTTCAAGCAAACCCTAAAAATACTATCGCATTTTCAAACGCAATTTTTTGATGACAGCCATATTTCTCATTTATACTACACATTTAGGACAAAGTTGGAACCAAATTATCGAAAATACTGCACAGTGTAGTTACATGATTTTTTTAATTTTCTTATTTAACCGGAAAATTTTCAAATTTTTTTTATTTAAGTACTAAAGTTTTGATGTAATAAACTTGAAAACATAATTAACTGGGACGCATTTAAATAAAAAAACGGATAAATGCAGCATTAAAACGGAAAACGCTGTTAAATATAGCTCACATATCAGAGGGGACTGCATTTTTTTTTATATATATACGATAACTTATGTGAGCCCTTGTTGGAAGTACACTAATTTAACAACGTACATATTTTGAAACATCAAACTTTTTCTGTTTTACTTACTTTTGATTTTTCCTCCTCAATATAAAGAAACTGCTCTACGCTTTGTTGGAATTTCTCCCAAAATTAAACCCAGTTATTTCAAGACCTGGCGTTCTAGCTAGCCACTTCTGGATCAAATCTAATAGCGATGGTTCAGTTTCCGAGGCTTGAAGAGCTTGAGCTGCGAGTTCATCATTTTCAAAAACATGTGAATATTTTTGGTTATATACAATTCTGTGCTCACATTTCAATCCCAATTTATTTTCTAGTAAGCGAAATTGCATAGATTGAAAACCAGACGCGGGTGCTAAGTAATTCCTAAAATCCATAAAATCTAGGGGGGTCATAGTTTCTAATATTGGAACTTGATCAACACAAAGCTAGAAATAAAATTTAATGCAAATGTCAATAAAATATTCAATCATATTTATGATACGTAGATATTCATGCATGCAAAGTGTTTTATTATTCATTTTCTTTAACTTCATTTCGAAGCAGTTATTGGTTTAACTTCAATTGAAGGTTTCACATTCTATGAGAATTTAACGAAAAAACATGTACTTACATATGTTTAGAAAATTTGTAATAAAGATCTGACATTTATTTTAAACACACTTGATGCTATATGTGTTGAAATTTTTTAAAATCTTAAAACGATGTATAACGGAAAATATATGTATTGTTTCACGCATGTTTCACATTAGCAAAATAAATCCCTTACAATTATTATAAAATTTATTTTAAGTTTCTACTTACCTTAAGAATCAACACGATTCGGTTCAACCTTTTTATAATTTCCATTGTATTTGATTCTTCAATTACTTGCGTGTTAAATAAATTGCGTACAGAATCTAGTTCATAAATTATTTGTTTAAACCAAAGCTCATATACTAAAAAAAATAGAAGAGGTATTTTCAAGTAATTTTTTATATCACCAATTAGAAATAATTTTTATGATAAATTATAAATAAATTGTTTTTTCAGCTAATAATAATAATAATAATAATAATAATAATAATAATAATAATAATAATAATAATAACAATTATAATAATAATAATAATTATAATAATAATAATAATAATAATTATAATAATAATAATAATAATAATAATAATAATAATAATAATAATAATAATAATAATAATAATAGTAATAATAATAATAATAATAATAAAAAAAAAAATAATAATAATAATAATAAAAATAATAATAATAATAATAATAATAATAATAATAATAATAATAAAAATTATAATAATAATAATAATAATAATAATAATAAATAATAATAATAATAATAAAATTAATAATAATAATAATAATAATAACAATAATA